GCTAAATGACCCCCTCTGGGTCCTAACCCTTTGGGGCTGAACTGTAAGTACATCTGTGGGACTCAGCTGATGGCCTCTCGACTGTCCCAGCAAACTGGGGGATTCTGTTCTCTCTCTGAGACAGGGCCACCCCACCATCTTGCACCTGAGGATGCCTCCAGGCAGGGTTTTCCAAGGCCCAGAAAAATGGCAGCCAAAATTGCCGGAGCCTGGGCACCCAACTTTAAAGGAGGTGGAGGGGAAGAGGCAGGCAGGCCTTGATGGATCCATCTGAGTCCCGAGTTTCGAACTGGCAGAGGCAAGGGGTTTCAGAAGCCCACCTGGAATGCTGTCACTGCTAGCTGCATCCTAGAGGGTAAAGGGGGCACTGGAGTCCCCTGGCTTCCCTCACCTTCTCTGTCTCAGCCTCTTCCCTCTTTTCTTTCCTTCTTTCTCTCTGCTTTCCCCCTCCCCCTCCTCTGTTCACAAAAGCTCTCTGTACACAGCCACTTCCTCTGGCTGCTGTCTCTGAGCCCAGACCTTATGAGAACCATATGGGGAAAAAGGGTGGACGAGAAGAGGGTGGGGGAAGCCGGCTGGGCCCGCCTCTCCAGCCAGCATCTTTCCACCGCCCTCCGCTATGAGCATGGCGCTTGGCACACTGTGCCCTAACCTTCTCTAACTGGATCCTTGTGGCTTCATGCATGAGTCTCAGTCCAGAGCTGGATGGAGGCCCATCAAGAGATCTACACAAGAACCACCTCCCTGAGGCACGGGCACTCAAAGCACAGTAAATGGGTTATGTGGTATCCACACACCACCCATCTCCTACCTCCCCTCCTACTGCCAAACTCCCAGCACAAATAACCAGCCAGAAGTGCCTGTAATCCTAGCTACACCAGGAGTCTGAGATCTGAGGATCAAGATTCAAAGCCAGCCTGGGCAGGAAAGTCCTTGAGACCCTTATCTCCAATTAACCACCAGAAAAAGTGGAAGTGGTGCTGTGGTTCAAGTGGTAGAGCACTGGCCTTGAGCTGAAGAGCTCAGCGACAGCGCCTAGGCCCAGCGTTCAAGCCCTATGACCAAAAAAAAAAAGCAGTGTGGGCATATCTGATTATTTGATTGCTAATGACCCCTTCTCCCCAATATCCCTAACCCAGCAGGCTATGTGGTCAGCAACCCTCCTCGCAGTGGGAGGCTTTGCCTGTCTCATGGCTGCCTTCCTTCTCACCTAGCCTACAATGGTCTCAAGTCAAAAAGGCCTGGGCCTGCTGGGAGAAGGTGGGTTTTTAAAGGAGCTTTTGTACTCTCTATGTGACTATGTAACTGCAACCCCTCTTTACATCACCCTTACAATAACAAAAAAAAATTAGTTTCTTAATTAAGTTCCAATGGCTTACACCTACAATCCTAACTACTCGGGAGGCTGAGATCTGAGTATCATGGTTGGAAGCCAGACAGGAAAGTCCATGAGACACAATTAAACAGTAAAAACCCAGAAATAGAGCTTTGTCTCAAGAGGTAGAGCTCTATGCTTGAGCAGAAAAAGCTAAAGGACAGTGTCTAGGCCTTGAGGTCAAGTACCAGTATTGGCACAAAATAAAAATATAAGTAGTTTTTGTGTCCAATCAGTCCCCAAATCCAAGTAGGACCTTCTTGACAGAAATGCTAAGAGAACTCTACTACTTAATCCCTTACTGACCCCACCTGGTGCTAGCTCTCCACTCCCTAGGTAGCGGCCTGTTTGCTCAGCAGTAAGAGTAGGGGCAGGACTTGCTTATCTGTAAGACCCTGTTCCGAGCAGACAAAGTAGGAATTTATGACACTCAGAGGCTACTCAGATGACCTGGGAGGTCTTCCCAGGAGATCCTCAGGACTTATCTGATATCAGCCCTGTTCTGGAATTCCTTATTCTCAGGCCCTTCCCCCTCCCTCTAAATCCCAGAGCTGAGAACCAGAGGGCAGGCCCTCAGCAGCTGCCCAGAAGCAGGGGGAGGCATACTGAATCCTCCTACAGTCAGCTCCTCCACCTCCCTGTAAAAAGCCACCAACTCTGGGACCTTTCTCCTCAGGGGAGGCCCATAAAGACTCCAGCTCTGGACAAGAGTATTTGTGCCCACAGCTGCCTTGCATACTAGGTTAGGAGGCTGGGGGTGGGGCAGATGGATCAGGAAGGAAGCCAAGAACTCAGCTTTCCTGGAAAACTTCGAATGAAAAGTCCACAAGAGGAGAAAATTAAGGGGAAAAAAAAAGACAAAAAACAAAAAAACCCAAAACAAAACAAAACAGAAAATAAGCAAAAGGGTGTGGGGAGAGGGAATAGAGTCTACAAACACAGAAAGCAGAGTTGAGATAGTAGGATGCAGGTAAAGCAGGCTTGCTTAGTGAGATCAACACAATTGTTCACAGAATCCCTTGGAACTGGTCAGAGCTCTCTGTAAACTAGGAAGGGAGGCCCCTGTAGACAGGGACTTTATCTAGCACTTGGAGTCCCAGCATTCATTATCTTCTAGGCTTTCTAAGGTGGAGTGCTAAGTCCTGGGAGGATGGATGGGGAAATAAGAGATTTCTGGGGACGTAGGGGTGATGGGGATGTTGGGGAAGGAGAGTAGTTACAATGCAAACATAGCTCAAGTCCTGTTGCTTGCCCCAGGTGACAAGTCATAAGGTGAAAGGGAAAATCTATGTGGAAAAGAAATTAGGAGAGGGCAGAAGAAGAAATGGAAGGCACATCATTTTCTTCCTATTGTTTGTTTTGAGAAAAAGGCTACTTATGTAGAACAAACTTGCCTCAAACTCTCAAGCCTCCTACCTTCAGCCTCCTGAATGCTAGAATTACAGGCATAGAATTTACAAGCCCCAACATACTCTTGGCCTTGTGTTCTGTTGCCTGGTAGAAGTGGCAGCTTCTTCCCAGCCCTTATCTTCTTTCTCTCAACATTCTGGGGCATGGTGGAATGCTAGGACAGAACCCCAAGGAATGCATGCCCAGCTTCTGCTGGAGAATCTGGGTTCTGTTTTCTTCAGAGGCCAATTTGGGGGCTTAGGAGACAGACAATACCAGGATCACAAATAATGCGGGGTTAAGAAACATGTCTGCCTGGTAATTCAGTTGAACTCATAGTTGGCAAGCCATGAGCTTCTCAAGGGCTCCCAGGTCCTATCTGATCCTTTGTCACTATGGGGATGTACAGCCAGGCTGGGAGGTGGGGTGGGAAAGGTACCTAAGGCAGCTAGGTCAGTGGGGAGAGAAGAAAAGGGGAGCCTTTCCTCTAAGGAGGGTTTGGGATGGGAAGATGAGCTAGGAGTCGCATCTGCTGCCACCCTGTCACAATATATTCTCACCAACGATTGGCCCACTCTCTCCTTGGAGTGGCGTCCATGGGAATTTGCCACGGCTGGAAAGCATTAGTTGCCAAATCATTTTAAGATGTACTACAGAACCAGTTTTCTACCCCCCGCCTCCCCTTCTGCTTTGGCTATGTTAGGATTCCCTAATTCCGACCAACAGACACATAGGGATCACTCAAAGGAGAGTGTGCACAGACACGGAGCATGCGTGTAAAACACACCCCACTCAGCACTGAACTATCATTGTGTGGCTGTGGCTTGCACAGACCCCAGCTCCACTATTCCACACAGCCAGCCTTTTAATTTTCCTCCTCCAGAGGTGAGTGGGTTCCTGGGGAATGCCTAGGCCTGAAGGGACCCTTGAGCACCAGTGCACACTTGGGGGGTTGGGGTGGGGGGTGTGGTGCTGAGCTAACGGCTGGTCCCTTCTCTGCCATTGTCATGTCCTTGAGCTGAAGGAGATCAGAGAGGGCAGACCTCACGCCTCTTCTTCAAGGCACACATGCACACACACCCCAGCTGGGAAAAACGCAGGCCAAGCAGTAAACGTCATAGGCTGACCAGTTGTGTCCTGTCAGGAAGCGGGCAGCCTCTGAACTCACCCAACCAGAGGCGTTACTGTATTGTTCTGGACACAATCGAATGGAAGTAGCCAGCCCCAACTCCAGGCAAGGTGGGTGGAGAAACAGTTGCCACGAGGGTCAGGAGGACAGGGAAGGGGAAGCAGCTTTTAGGACAGGAAAGTAAGGGGCAGCGGCTAGGACGCTACCCTCAACGTCCACGGCGTGAGTGGAGCTCGCCGCACATGGTCAGTTCAGGAAACCGCGGGGCTGCGGAGGGGTCGCGAATGCTGAGACCTGGGGTCAGGCTGTGCTGCGGAGCCCTCGCTGGTGGCCAGCAAAGCAAGGGCTGGACGGGGCCCTGGGTTGAAATGAGAATCGCAATCACAGAAGGAGGCCAGGAGGCACGCGCCTCCCTTAACCGTTTCTTTCTTCCTTATCTTTGCGCAAAGAAGGCAAGGAGTCCAAGCTCGAAAGAGCTCAAAAGAACAGACAGGGCCGCAGGACCGGGCACAAGCTCACCACACAAACGCTCACAAGTGGGAAAGGGGACCCAAAGAGGAGTCGGGGCGCTGGGACCTCACGCAGACCAATAGCACCAGACTCCCCAAGGATAGACGTTTCCAAGCTCACCCTCCTGGCTCTCGTGAGGAGTCGGGCTGGAAGACGGACCCACAGGCCCGCAGCCCCAGGGAAAGGATGGGGTTGATCCCAATTGGAGGTGCCAGACCCGCCCGGTAAATCCGGGAGTTTCCTCCGGAGATTCAGCGGCGGCGGTTAAGGACCGCAGTCACTTATTGGGCCGCGGGCGTCATCTTTCAGCAGCCCTCTCCACGCCCGCCCGCTCGGGTCTCCAAAGTACGAAACCAGCCCAGGCTTAAGAGGAGGAGCGCGGGCCTCCCGCTAGCGCGCCTTCCACCCACCTGTGCAGGTGAGCGGCGCGCGCCGCGCCTCGCCGGGGCGCACCGGCGCTCCCCTCCCTCCGGGCTCCACAAGCCTCCGCCGGCCTCGACGTCTGCCAGCTCCCCGGCTCCGGGCCTCGGGCCTGTCCTCAGCCCCCCCCGTCTCGCCCTCCCGCACCTCCGTTCGTGCAGTGGGTAGGGTACTCACAGGGTAACGGTGCCGTTGGGCAGCAGGCTGGGCTCGGGAGGCTCCGGGAGGTCTCCGCCACCGCACACCACCCTTCTGCGCGCCAGGTTGGGGGCGCCGCTGCCCAGTCCCTTGGGCCGCTCCCCAGAGCACTTGCAACTGCGGATGGGGACGGGGCAGCCGGGAGCACCCCCAGCCTCGGGCGCCAGGAGCAGCCACAGCAGCAGCGGCAGCGGGAGGCTCGCGGACGCCCTCCGCATCCTGCGTCCCCCCAAGCCCATCAACCCATCGCCCCGCGGGGACCCGCAAGCGCTGGGGCCGGGCTGCGCTGCCGGCCGTCGGGACCCGGGCGTGCGGGGCGGCGCGCTCAGCGGGGGCCCGGGGCGCCCGAGGGAGGGGCGGGGGGCCCTGGGCGGAGGCGAGCCCTGGGGTCCCAGCCGCCGCGCCCCGGGGGCATGTCCTGCGAGCTCCCCGCCGTGGAGGACACGGGCGCGGCTGTCAGCGCCGCGCGGGAGGCCCCGGGCGGTGCGGCCCGACTCTCAGCGCTTCGCGCTCCGGGGCTGGTGGCCGCCCGGCGTCCGTGCGTCGCCGACTCGCTCAGCGCGGGGCTGGGACGTAGCGGACCGCGCTGGTCTCCCGCCGCCGCCGCCGCCGCCGCCGCCGCCCCGTGCCATGGATGGGGGCAGCTCGGCGCCGCGCCGCTCCCGCCGCCTCCAGCCCCCGCCTCCCCCCTTGCGCCTCGCCACTCCGCGAGGCCCTAGCGCCTCCCGACCTGCAAGCCTGTCCGCTGTCCTCTCCACAATCCAGCCCCAAACAGCACTTTTCACAAAACCCTCCCTGGCTCGTGTGCGTCCAGACTGCAGGAACAGGCTTCCGGAGCTTTGCATGACCTACGGGGCTCGGCTTGAGATGTCTGGGGCTCTGTTTGGGGTTGAACTTTGCTCGCGATCAGAGGTTTCCATTCGCCTCCGTGACATGAGAGGCCGGTCTAGACCTTGGCTCTCACAGTCACAGCCCTGCTCCTGCCCACAAACTTTGATTGAGGCCACCGCAGGAGGATCCAAGCCACAGATGAGGAAGCAGCTGACCTCACCCAGTGAGCAGTGACCTTGTCCAGTGGGGGGTGCATGTTGTTGGGCCAAGGAGAGGTCAAAGGCCAAGACAGGCCTTGCTAGTTCTGACCATCCCCCCCCTCCCCTTGTGTGTGTGTGTGTGTGTGTGTGTGTGTGTGTGTGTGTGTGTGTGTGTGTGAAGTAGTGAGTGACAAACTGGGAAAATGAAAAGAGGGATCGGTGCCAGGATATGGGCAGAGCACTGTGCAGGGAGTTAGGACATCCCATTCTAAACTTAGCTTTGCCTTTTAATTTATTCACTGTCTGACTTTGGACACACTGATGGAACATCTTGGAGGACTAGTCTAGGGGTCAAAATGAGGTCCTGACTACCCCCTACTTTATTCCTGTAAACTGTGGCATGAGAAGGAGGAAGAAAGCCCTGCGCAGGGTCTGACCTTGAGAAGGGGAAAGAAGGATGAGAAATGTGCTGGAAACTCCTTGCCCAAGCATATAATCCCAGTACTTGGGAGGCAGAAGGATCCTCAGTCAGAGACCAGCTTGGATTTAGTAGTGAGACTGTCTCAAGAAAACCAAACATCTGGGGCTGGGAAGGTGGCTCAGTGGTAGAGCGCTTGCCTTGCATGCACGAGGCCCTGGGTTCGATTCCTTAGCACCACATAAGCAAAAAGAAAAAAGCCGGAAGTGGCGCTGTGGCTCAAGTGGTAGAGCGCTAGCCTTGAGCTGAAGAGCTGAGGGACAGCATCCAGACCCAGAGTTCAGGCCCACGACCGGACCCCCCCCCCCCCAAAAAAAAAAAAAGAAAACCAAACATTTAAAAACAAAACAAACAACTGGGTGCCCATGGTTCACACCTGTAACCTTAGCTACTCCGGAAGGCTGAGATTTGAGAATCAAGGTTTGAAGCCAGCCTGGGCAAGAATGTTTGTGAGACTCTTATCTCCAATTAATTGCCCAAAGCTGGAAGTAGAGTTGTGGCTCAAACTGTAGACCACTAGCCTTGGGCATAAAAACTTAGAGACAGTGCCCAGGCCCTGAGTTTAAGCCCTGGACTTGCACAATAAACACCCCCCCCCCCCACAAAACAAACAAAAGAACCTTCTGTGATTAAGATGTATTGTACTCATAATCTGACTTATGGAATTGAAACTTCTTTATACAACCACTTAATAATATTTTTAAAAAATGCTTCTGGGGGGACTGGGAAGATGGCTCAGTGGTAGAGCTCTTGCCTTGCAATGCATGAGGCCCTGGGTTCGATTCCCCAGCACCACATAAGCAAAAAGAAAAAGAAAAGCCGGAAGTCGTAGAGCGCTAGTCTTGAGCTGAAGAGCTGAGGGACAGTGCCCAGGCCCAGAGTTCAGGCCCCACAACCGGACCCCCCCCCCAAAAAAAAATGCTTCTGGGTATTGCTTCTGGATTGCATTGCAAACTGGAAACCTGGTTGGGGGAGTGTGGCTTATGGTGTCTGCCTTCTTAGATTTCCCACAAAGGATAGCCTTTCTGTCATTTAATAGAGCCTTGATGGCTAAGAAACCAACTGCCAGGACTGGAGCAGGACTGGTGTTTCCATCCTCACAGGGCCATCAATGTGCCCCCATGATGGCCACCACCCTCTTCCATGAGCTTGGCCCTGCCGTGGTGAAGGTGCCTTTTCCAGTCCTACTGTGCCTGTCAGCCAAGCCTCCCAGCCCCTTTGCAGGGAAGTGGCTTCTCCCTTTGGCCTGCTGGCAGCAGGCCTTGGGGCCTGATACTGCTGGCCCCCTTGCTTTCCCTCCCTGGCTCCTCATCCCTCCCAGCTGAACTTCCAAAGATAAATAAATAGTGATTGCAAATGGAGGAAGGGAGATGAGGAATGGCCTTCCCCAGCAGGAGCCCTCAGCAGGCCTGGCTAAGCCTGCATTCCTCAGGAAAGGGTCAGAAGATCCAGCCACAGCTACAGCCCACAAGCAGGGTCTGCCCACCCAGACTCCTGCCGCCCACCCAGCCTCCCGGGTATCCATAGGCCACGAGGAAGAGGAGGAGAGGCCTTGGGCCCAAGTCACAGCTTCTTTTGACTTCTTTTTGCTAAATGAAGACACTCAAAGTCTGGAAAGGAATTCTTCTGTCCCCCCCTACACTTGCAAAAGCTAAATAGAGACCAGATGACATTGACATGACATTGAGGGGAGGCTTCTACTTGGTAGAGAAAATGAGATGCCTGGTGGAGAACTTAGCCCTGTCCTGAGGGCTATCATATTTGACTTTCATAATGGCTGAGATGACATAGTCAGTAGGTTAATCCCACCCCCACCCTTCTTTTTTTTTTTTTTGTTGGTCCTGGGGCTTGAACTCTGGGCATGGGCGCTGTCCTCCAGCTCTACTACTTGAACCATAGCACCACTTCCAGTGATTCTGGTGGTTTATTGGAGATAACAGTCTCACTGACTTTCTTGCCTGGGCTGGCTTTGAGCCATGAATCTCAAATCTCAGCTTCCTGAGTAGCTAGTATTACAGGTATGAACCATGGGCACCCCGCTAATTTCCCATCTCTAAGTCATACAGAGGTAAAGGGCCTGGGGTCTAGGATCCCTTAGGATTGATTCCTTTCTAGGTTCTGTCCAATCTACTTGAAGCTTTCCCCATAGACTATTTCTTGCTACTGTCTTCAGGTACAGAGGAGTGAGTTTGTTTGTTTGTTTTCTTATTTTGCTAGTACTGGAGTATGAATTCAGGGCCTGGCCACTGTTTCTTAGCATTTTTACTTTTTTATTTTTATTTTTTCTGGTCCTGGGGCTTGAACTCAGGGCCTGGGCACTGTTCCTGAGCCTCTCTGTGCTCAAAGCTAGCATTCTACCACTTCAGCCCCAGTGTCACTTCTGGCTTTTTCTGTTAATTTTACTGAGGAATTGAACTCAGAGCTTCATGCATGCTAGGCAAACACTCTACCACTAAGCTACATTCCCAGCCATCTTAGCTTAAAAATTTTTTTTTTTATTTTACCAAAGCCTAGTGCTCTAAACTTTGTTCCTCAGCTCCACATTTGGTAGTTAATTGGATAAGAGTTTTACGGACTTTCCTGTCCGCCCTGGCTTTAAACATTGATTCTCAGATCCAGCCTCCTGAATATCTAGGCATAAGCCACTAGTGCTTGGCTAAAACCTGGGGCTGGGAATGTAGCTTAGTGATAAAGTGCTTGCCTAGGATGCATGGAGCCCTGAGTTTGATTCCTCAGTACCACATAAACAGGAAAAGCCTGAAGTGGCACTGTGGCTCAAGTGGTAGAGCACTAGCCTTGAGCAAAAGAAGCTTAGGGACAGTGCCCTGGCCCTAAATTCAAGCCCCAAGACTGGCAAAACAAAAACTCATAAAAAACAAAACAAAACAACATGCAGGGTCACAGTTACTTGGGAGAGCGAGGCAGGAAGATCATGGGAGCTTTGAGTCCCAGGCTAGTGGGGTGACGTTGTGATATCTTCTCTGTTAAATAAGACAAAATAATTACAATAAAAGTATCTTGTTTTGAGGTTTGGTTGAGATAAAAAGATGACTCAAACTTAGTTCCAAGTCAGGCACTGGTAGCTCACGCCTGTAATTCGAGCTACTCAGGAGGTTCAGATCTGAGGATTATAGTTTGAAGTCAGCCTCGGCAAGAAAGTTGGTAAGACTTTTTTTTTTTTTTTTGGTTGGTCGTGGGGCTTGAACTCTGGGCCTGGGCACTGTCCCTCAGCTCTTCAGCTCAAGACTAGCCCTCTACTTAGCCCTCTGCTTATGTGGTGCTGAAGAATCGAACCCAGGGTCTCATGCAGGCGAGGCAAGCACTCTACCACTGAGCCACCTTCCCAGCCCCAAGACTTTTTTTTTGTCAGTTGTGGGGCTTGAACTCTGGGCCTAGGCGCTGTCTCTCAGCTCTTCAGCTCAAGGCTATTGCTCTACCACTTGAGCCACAATGCCACTTCTGGTTTTCTGGTAGTTTATTGGAGATAAGAGTCTCACCGACTTTCCTGCTTTGAACTGCAATCCTCAGATCTCAGCCTCTAGAATAGCTAGGATTACAGGCGAGAGCCATCGGCGCCCAGTGGTTAGACTCTTATCTCCAATTGACTTCCAGAAAAAGCTAGAAGTGGAGCTGTGGTTCAAGTGGTACAGCACCAGCTTTGAGCAAAAGAAGTTCAGGGACAGTTCCTAGACCTTGAGTTCAAACTCTCAGGATTGGGACAAAACAGAGTATCTGGCTAGGAAGTCTGACCCATGAAAACGTACTTTTTAA